CCCATCTAGTACCTACAATATATTTATTACTAGGCCTTTCAACTAATGTCCATACTTTACTTCTCTCAAATTGATTTAACTCTTCTTGCATAGCCATAATCCAATGTTCATCATTTAATGCTTCTTTAATATTCTTAGGCTCTATGCATGAGATAAATGCAACATAATTACAAATATTTCTAAGAGAAGATCGAGTTGTTACCCCTTTTGATGGATCACCTATAATTTCACCAACCTTGACATAGTTGTACTCTCTTGGATAAGATACTTCCCTTTCTTCAATGGTTCGATTCTCAAGAGGATCATGAGTTTCCTCATTTTTTGTTTCTTCCTTTGATGATGGTTCTCCAACTTCATGTCTAACGTCATTTGTATTTATAACACCTACATCATCATTCACACAAGAATCCTTCCTCGGAAGGGGATTATCATCGAAAACAACATGTATAGACTCTTCTACAACTAAATTTCTTTTATTAAATACACGATAGGCTTTAGAATTTAAGGAATGACCCAGAAAAATTCCTTCATCACTTTTAGCATCAAATTTGCCAAGGTTTTCTTTACCGTTGTTTAAAACAAAACATTTACATCCAAAAGGATGAAAATAACTAATGTTAAGCTTCTTATTTTTGAAAATTTCATATGGAGTTTTCTTTAAAATTGGCCTAATCATTACTCGATTTACAACATAACAAGCGGTATTTGTGGCTTCCGCCCAAAAATATTTTGGCAAATTATTTTCAGAAAGCATGGTTCTAGCCATTTCTTCTAAAGTTCGATTTTTCCTCTCAACAACTCCATTTTGTTGAGGGGTTCTAGGTGCTGAAAAATTATGACTAATACCATTAGAATTACAAAATTCAATAAATCCAAGATTTTCAAATTCAGTGCCATGATCACTCCTAACACTAGTTATAGAGTAACCCTTTTCATTTTGGATTATTTTTGAAAGTGTGATGAACTGTTCTAATGCTTCATCTTTAGTACTTAAAAATAGAACCCAAGTATATCTAGAATAGTCATCTACCAAGACAAATGCATATTGTTTTCCACCCAAGCTAGTAGTCCTAGTTGGCCCAAAAAGATCTACATGGATCAATTGTAAAACTCTATTAGTTGATACGTCATTAATGGATTTAAAAGAAACACGATTTTGTTTTCCTTTAGCACAAGCATCACAGATTTTATCATTATCAAATTTAAGCTTAGGCAACCCGTGAACTAAATCACCTTGAATTAGCCGTTGCAAAACACTCATACTAGCATGTCCTAGTCTCCTATGCCATAACCAACTATCATGTTCATCTTTAGCAACTAGGCATAAATTAGTCATATCAAAAGAATCTAAATGCACCATGTAAATATTCCCTATTCTATGACCAACAAGCATAATCCGATTAGATGCAATGTCAATGACTTTACAACCATTAATTTCAAATAAGACATTGAATCCTTTATCGCATAATTGACTAATACTCAATAGATTATGCTTTAATCCATTCACATATAAAACATTCTCAATTTGTATGGAAGAAGTATACCTATTGTACCAATACCTTCAATGTGACCTTTTGAATTGTCTCCAAAAGTCAATTATCCTCCATTTTTTGGCGTTAAGCTCAATGAACCGGCTTTTGTCTCCAGTCATATGTCTTAAGCATCCACTATTAAGGTACCATGAATTTGAATTTGTTTCCCGTGCCTTGTAGCAATGCTCCTTTCCCTACAAACATAGATTAACTTTTGATTTTTGGTACCCAAATTCTTTTCGGTCCATATTCATTAGTTTCCAAAATCCTAGTCCCCTTAGGTATCCATTTGTGTAGGATATTTTTTATCTTTAGTAGTAATGAGTTCTTTAGGAACCCACATACTTCTAACGATTTTTCCATTAGAGGTTCTTTGGGGACCTCTATGATTGTAGTTTCTAAAACTTTTTCTAACAAAGTTGGATTTTGAATTTCCACCTTTTTCAAAATGTTTTGTTCCAACTTTATCAAAAGAAGTTTTAAGATCATCAATTTTCTTTTGATGATCATCATTGATCTTTGAAAGTAAATTTTGCAAACTAAATTTTTCTTTTCAAACTCTTCTAGTTTGATTTGCAAGTCTTTGATTTTACTTTCAAGATCGTTGTTGGTTTTGGATATGAGTTTGTTTTCATTTTTCAATTTTGAAACATCATTTTTATATTTTAAAAATAATTTCTCATAATCCGAAGCCAACCCATTATATTCCTCTAATAACTCATCATAGGATAAATCATCAAAATCGGATGAGTTAGAGGTTACCTTAGAATCTTCCCCAAATGCCATCAAGCACAAGTTAGCTACTTCTTGTTCCTCTTCATCGGAACTTTCTTCATCACTCCATGTAGCCACATGAGCCTTGTGCTTATTCTTTGATTGACCCTTTTTCTTCAATTGTGGGCAATCATATTTAACATGTCCTGGCTTTTTGCATTCTTAGCAAATGATTGGGTCCTTCTCTTTCGGTTCATTTTTGAGGCCTTCATTTCGTTTGAATTTTCTTCCTCGATAAGGTCTCATCATTTTTCTGAACCATTTGGCAAACAATGCCATTTCCTCGTCATCGTCATCGTTATTCGAATCACTCTCATCTTTTGTAGATTTGAGAGCAACTCCAATGTTTTTCTTCTTCTCCTTCTCCTTTGGTGTCTCGTCAATTTTTTCGAGGTCCACCTGATCTTCGAGCATCATTTCATGAGTGAAGAGTGACCCAATTAGCTCTTCAAGAGTTAAGGACGTTAAGTCCTTAGACTCGATGATTGCCGTCTTCTTTGATTGCCACGATTTTGGGAGGGAGTAGACTAACTTCCTCACAAGCTTTTCATTTGAAATGATCTCTCCATATGATTTGAGACCATTGACAATCGTTGAAAATCTATCCGTCATAGCTTTGATATCTTCATTTGGTTTTATCCTGAAATTTTCATAGCTATGCGTTAGAATACTAATTTTAGATTTCTTTACCTCATCGGTACCTTCATGAGTGACTTGAAGTTTGTCCCATATTTCTTTGGCGGTTGTACACGATGAAACTCTTCCGTATTCATCTGGTCCAAGAGCATAAAAAATGATATGGATGGCTTTGGAGTTGAGCTGGAACATTCTTGTCTCTCCTTCACTCCACAACCTTGGATGAGTGAGAGGTTTGATGTATCCTTCTTCTACAGCATTCCATGCTCCCATTTCACTTGCTTGAATGAAGTACATCATTCTATTCTTCCAATAGGCATAGTTAGCTCCATTGAAGAAAGGAGGCTTGTTGACGGGCATCGAATCGAGACCGGAGTCGAAGTTTGAAGCGGAGGCCATTGATGACTTTGATAATCGATATAACTCTTCCCGAATCGACTCAAGAGGCGATTAAACTTTCAAATGAGTTAGGCTCTGATACCAATTGTTGAGTTAATCGATCGACGGAATTAGCCAAGAGGGGGGTGAATTGGCAATTAAAAATTCGGTGGAAGCTTTTGCAGAAAATTAAAAAGATTTGCACAGCGATTTAGAGTGGTTCGACTTTCTCAATCAAAGTCTACGTCCACTACCTTAGCTATCCACACTAAGGATTTTCCAAAAAATTCACTAATTTGTTCTTTCTTTTGAGGCCAAAGAGATAACCTTACAATACCCTCAAGAATATACCCCAATTCTTGAGAACACTCTTTTCCCAAAGAGAATATTACAAATTTGCAAACTTACAAGGAAAACCTCACAAGGTAAGATGTTTGCACAATTCTAGAACAAGAAAAGAACACTCAAAGATAATTACAAATGAGCACAAATGGTGTTCTTGAAAGCAAAATGAATATTGAAAGGAAAATTGGCTTGATTTGCACAAACTTGGTGTTTGATGCTTTCTCTCTTGTTTCTCTATGATTTCTTGTTGATCAAGGGCTTCAGAACTTGTTTAAATACACCTTGAATCACTTTTGACCGTTGGGGATAATTAATGAAAATAATATAGCCGTTTTAGTGTGAAAACAATTAATAAAACAGCTTGGAGCGTGGGGGGAATCGGTTCCTCCTCATAGGGAATCGATTCCCTAAGTGTAAAATTCAAATATTTCGACCGTTGAACAGGGGGAATCGGTTCCCTCCGAGCATTCTGGAAATCTCGGAGCCAAACCATTCAGGGGGAATCGGCACCCCCTTGGGGGGGAATCGGTTCCCTCTGAGCAATCTGGAATTTTTGGCTTTGAAATGGTTCGAAATACTTTGAAAGATTATTTTGAAATTGTTTTAAGATTAAAACTTAATTTTACACTTAAGTAAGGATTAAAAATGATTTTTGAAATATTTTGAGTAATGTTTTGATATTCGAATAATTATATCGAATATACTTAGAAAATCATTTTGGAAAATCTTAAAATTCATTTAACTTAATTTGTTATATCGAAATATCAAAATGTTTTCAACACTGACAATAAGTAGAAAATGGTCGAGTGTTAACTATTAAATTGAACATGCATATAATATACACAGGTCAATGACACCACCACCAAAATTATGGTGAAGAACATTGAAAGTATAAAATGTTAGCACAAATACAGTTGTCATAGAACAAAATTTCAATGTATCGCAGATTATATAAAAAATAAACAAGATTAAATATAAAATAAATCAATGATTCCCAAAGTAATAATAGGAAGTTTTTTTAAGAAAAAAAAGGAAAGGCGTTTATTCTGTATCATTCAACCTACATACTTAAAAGGTTTAAAAATTTTGACTTCTTTGAACAACTTAAGGGGCCAAGGTTTGTTGGCACAATGTATATTCTTAGTTGAATGATAACTTCACCATAACATTCTACACCATGCAGTACAATAATAAAATCCTCTCGCAGGCACAATAATCCAACAACAACAAACTAGCAGTCTTAGATGAAAAATTCTTTTTCATACTAAGTCATGATAGCAACTTATATTTTTATGGAAATGATAGCAAGTGAGATAGAAAGTACTGGCAATGTACCTTTTAAACAGGTGATGTCGTAATCTGTGACCTTACTGCAGGATATCTGAAAGCTTTTCAAGTTTGTAAGCCCTAAAACATGACAAGAGAAATCTTATGCATTAGCACAAAAAGGAAAAGCAAAAATAGAGGTGAAGGGCAATCAAAAGAGAGAAAATACTTTCAAAAAGTGTACAATTCTTTGAGTGCCTATTGAAAGTTGAAATGCAATGATCTTATCAAATAAAGATGTGCCTTAATAGATATGTACAGGTCTGAACAGTTGGATCCTATTAAAAAGGTAACAGAGTTGGAATTGTTGGGAAACATATATAGCCAACTAGAGGTCAAGACTCAAGAGAACGAAAGAATTCTACTGCCAGAGATGGCATCAGTTTCATAAACGAAGAAGAAAAAGTTCACATCTATGAAAACATACCTGGTTTTTCAATGAAAGATGGATAACTCCTTAGATTTTGAATGGGTTTAACTGCTGCAACTCAAGTGAGCTAAAATCTGGGTGAATTGAAAAATAGTGCATCTCAATTAGTCCCACGAACCCATAAAAATTAGAAAAATAATTGGCAGATCAGTGTAGTAGTAGAGAAAATAGATAAACATGAGTGAAAAACCCATAAAAATTGAACAATGAAACATATTGAAATATCAACGCCAAGAATCAAATAAAAATGTTGAAAATATCAACGCCATAAGCAAATACCTAAAAGGGAGAGGGAGAGGGAGACTAATACGCTAGAAGCAAATCTGAACGCCAAATCAAAGAAGAAACAAATTTTCTTTCAACCAACCAAGCGGGGAGAAGGGTATTTTAGACATGAGAACCGGGAATAAGCAAATACCTAAGAGAGACTGGGGATTGATATTCCCGGGAAAACGAGAAAAAATACCATTGTTGGTATTTCTTCTTTACCTGAACTTGGGAATGAAGCTCATCCAAATATGGGTATCATTACCCGGAAAAAAACATACCTTACAGGAATGAAATATGACGTGAACCAAACGGGGCCTTAGTATAGTTGATAAGGTAGTATTTGATTAATTAATTTAAATTAAATATTATACAAATTTATCGGTAAAAAAAAGACTATTAAAGTTTTCTCAAGATAAATAACAAAAATTGGATGTTAATTGCGAAAAAATAAGTGATAAAACTTTCCCAAATTGGTATTATTTGTTCATAATAACACTAGGGATGAGCATGAGTCGGGTTTGGTCAACCTTAAAATTTTACATCCTTCACCCGACTCCATCCAACTCGAAAAACATATACCTTCCACCCGACCTGAATTCGATCTGATTTTTTTAGATAAAATCCAAATCTGATCTTATTCGACCCGAAATAATAAAAATATTACTTTTATTCAATAAAAACAGTGATTTAATTAAAAATAATATATAAAGTGATATTATTATAATTATTCAAAAATATATAAGGTAAAATTATATTTTTTGAGTCAGGTCGGAACGAATATTTTTTCACCCTAAATCCGAATCTAACCTAACCTGAAAATCACCTTTAAAAAATCTGATCTGACCCGAACCTAATTTTTTATAAAAAATGTAATTTGATCTTATCTGGTCAAATTAAAATCCATCAGATTTGGATATCATGTCTATCACTAAATAACACAATAACTTTCATATAATATACATAAGAAACAATTTATTATTATTATTATTATTATTATTATTATTATTATTATTATTATTATTATTATTATTATTATTATTATTATTATTATTATTATTATTATTATTATTATTATTATTATTATTGCTTTGATGATTTCACGGTGTGGTTAACCCTTTTGATGATTACTAAAACCCCCCCTCCGCTTTCTCCTCACAAAGCCCATTCTCTCTCTCTCTCTCTCTCTCTCTCTCTCTCTCTCTCTCTCTCTCTCTCTCTCAATAGAACTCTGTTGATAAATAATCCAACGGCATCCACCGTCCACCACCGGCCCCAGCCACCGGGAACCCATCCCATCTCCTACTCCTTCTTACTATCTTTCTGAGTTTTCTTCTATTCCTCAGTTTTTGTAATTTTCGTAAATTCATCTGGAATTGTTTTCTTTTAATGAGTTTGGGCTCTATCCGGTGTACGGATCTACGTCCCTTGGTATATATACTGATGTAAATCGAATTTTATTTATAAAAAAAATCTTGATATTATACAAAAACATTTTTTAGATGATTTCCGTGGTCTATGCTTGTGCATGATGCATGCATATATTTATGTATGATGGTGTAGAAGTGATATCCTTCTTCTATGGAACGTTTTAAAGCAATAATGGAGAATTAAAGTTTTCCATCTTTTTTATTCTTTTTAGAGCGACGATACTTAGGGGTAGCTAAATTTGTGAAAACAGTTTTTGGGATGTAACTGCTGCTGATAAAAACTGGGGGCAGAACACAATCTATTCTTTGTTTCATTGAAATTTGGTTGTTTTATATGGTTATCCATGGATGATATAGTGAATTTTGAGTACTATGAGCTGTGATTTATGGATTCAATGAACTAAAATTATTTTTTCATTATTCTGATTTATGTTGCCTATTAATTATGAGTTAGCCGTAGTTTGATTGCTATTGTAGTGATTGGGAAAGACTTAAATGTATTTGACAATCTATTTACACTTTTTCGTCTATGTCTAGTCTATTGCTGTTTACCTCCTATTTATCTTTTCTGACTCAGACGCAGATGGTATCACTTATCTTGATATTTTTCTTTTCTTCAAGTTCTGTAAGTGTTCCTTTCTGTTCTGGAACTTTCTCAGGCTAAATTAAGAACTCGGGGGGTACGAATAAGGACGTATTACCTGTTATTTGAACTGAGGTATGTGTGTCATTGGCTTTGACAATACGACACTCGGATGGATTTTAAAATCAAAGGTATTGGCTGGGTGGGGGGCATTTACCGGAAGTTCGAAACATTGTGTCATGAGATGGATAATATTGTGAATCAGGTATTAATTCTTTGATCCCATCTTCATCCGTCGTGCTCTGTTATTAATTGACTGAACGAAGTTTTTGACGATTAATAGTCATTGATGCACCTAAGAATACGTTTGCTTTGGCATTGAAGTTCTTTCATGATCTTGTAAATGGCTTTCTCTTCAGGACACTGTCAAATATGCTGAAAACCAGGGAAAAAGTGTGGGTAAAAGCATGAAGAGATTTTATTCTGATGTTGTACTTCCTTTAAAACATGAAGGTCAAGGAGTGGCTTTAAAAAGAAGTGCTACAATCGATACCTCTTTTGAATTGAAGGTTGCTATTCAGGAAGATCACATAAACACTGTTTGTAACCTATCACATGTTGAGCCTGTTGCAGTTGATACAATTGAAAAACAGCTTGATCATGCTTCTAATGAACTTTGCCCTTTGGCTCAATTAAGCTTTCCAACTTCTGTTGATTCCCTCGACGGGGCAGAGTCGGGCATAAGTTCCCAACAACTTTGTGATGCTATGAAAACTACAAGTTCTGTTGTAAGCATAGAAGAAAATCCCATCAGGGAAAAAGCATATGGGTTTAATGTACCAGATCTGATTTCTCTGAGAGAGGAAGAATCATTTGGAGACTCGACTAATAATAAGTTCATTGATTGTACTGAGAAAATTTCACCTGGGGCTGAGGGTGAGGTTTCTCGTGCAATGCTAATTCATGATATGGAGTCTCAATTGCCTAGAAAGGAGACAGGAATTAGTGATAACATTGGAGTTGATGTGGTCAACAGGCAGCTTGAGTGTGCTTTTGGTGATCTTTTCCGTGTAGACCAACCAGTTAACCTTAGTACTGTGGATTCCCATTTGGGGAAACAATCCATAACTTCAGAAGAACCTTCTGAGGCTTTGAATGATACAAAACTTGAAGTAAACCTAGAGGAATATCCCACAATGGAAAAGCCTTCAGTTTCTAAGGTATCCGGGTTAGTGCCACCTTTTGAGAAGGAAACCCTTGGAGCTTCATTGTTGAGCAAGTTCAATGATAGTAATGATAAAGAAATGTCTTTTGAAGCTGAGGTTTCTCCCACTACTTCAGTTCAGGATGTGAGAAAACCATCTGCATCTGATGTTTCGAAATTGATATTTCCTGGTGAGGAAGGAATTGTTAATTGTGATAATAAAAATCCATCCTTGGTTCACACTGATTTTTCCTCTGCAACTTCAGCTCATGGTAACCAAAATGAAAGAAAAACTAAGGATGAGTGTGTCTCAGATGCTTTAGGTGATGTTACTTCTGCCAAAATGGCTTCTTTAGTCATTGGTTGTGAGGAAGATATGGCAGAGGTTGGGGTTGGTTCTTCTAGTCTTTCATTATTTAAGGAATTTTATTTGGCTGAGAACTCCCTTGAAAGTTCACCCGCAAAAACATTTATTTATCATGACCCTGTTAATGTAGCTGAGTTAGTTTCTCATAATGTACATTCATCTTCATTGTTGATGTCACTTCTATCCGATGAGAAGGAGTTGAAGGTAGCAGCATCCATTTCATCTAGCAATGACTTGTCCATGGCATCAGTTGGTTAGCATCTTGTTCCTATGTAATGATATTTTATTTATTATGGAATTGATTTTCATCTTAGTTGTAATATCACAGGAAATGGTGCCTACAGAACTGTTAATAGCTTCAAGTCTCTGACTGGAATTTCGGGAAACAAAAATCTTCACTTTGGTGGTGAATCTCCTCAACTTCAGGTTTCATCCTCTTCTAATATTGGTAAGCAAGCATAGCGTAAAATGTTAGACCATCAGAAACCTGGCTTGCTTTAGATATGTGTAGTCATTGATTTTTCTGGTAATTAGTATACAAGCCACTCTTTGCCTGAAAATGAAATAATATTACCTTCAAAATCATATCAGTACGTATCAATGTGTATATCTGTAGTATGAAGGTGCTAGTCTTTGCAAATTATGAACGGATTTCTTTATGTTATGCATTTTTTGGTGACCTGGTTTGCACCATAGCATAAGAAGTTTTGTTTTACAGTATATCTCATTGCACCAAAAGAAATGTTGATTGGAGAAACTTAACCATCT